TCTTAAGGGCCTTTCCTTTATGGTTGTTAGAAAAGATGTCTTACTGGAAAGAAGAAAAAAACATTAAACTTTCAAACACAAAAGACAATATAAATAATTTTGAAATCAATCAGTCTCAGGTTAAAAATTTTATTACATGTAGATCAAAATAATTAGAGAGATCCAGAACACTTTTTTTTTAAAGAAAAATGCATATTTATAGAAGGCTTAAATAATGTTTAATTTTTTCACACTGATTTATCATACAAAATGTACACGAAAAATGCTCACGATATAATTTTTATCCATAGGTTTTGAATTTTCACTTTTGAAGAAAACTAGAAACAAAAGGAAATGATTTTTTTTTTTAAATAACGGCAGGCGCTGAACTTTCGTTTTTCTCCTTAGATGCCGGAAGTGTTGCTCATTTATTGATATCCGGTGGGCACCTGTGAACCAAAGTCATGGAGGCGAGCAACTATATCCACGCGACACTGCCACGATTACCCATTCTTGGGATAGGACATTCACACAACTCACAGATAAACATCCATGCCCCGATCACGATTCGAACCCGTAGCCATTGACTTCGGAGTCAGGCACGCTTAACCGTTCGGTCACTTGGCCGGCTGGAAAAAATATTACTGCTATGTGTAGAAATAATTAAAAAAAATAATAAGTGTTTATAGTGGTGATACTTTTTATTAAATTCTTAGTAATGGCAATGTAATTTTCTTAGTTTAATTTTTCTATTGGGAAGCTATCCGATATATTTTTTATTTCCCATGCCCTCCCGATTGACATTCGTCATTCAGGTATCAGGAAGGTAGATTTGTCGGCCACTCTTTTAGGAGACCCCTATTAGGTGGGCCAACGTTGCTCTTACATTAAGAACAGTACAGATAATACAAACTTGCCTTGTCCGGGATTCGAACAGAGGACATTTCTTAGGTTAGGTCAGCTCCCTGACAATTACACAGTCCGGTCGGCAGCAATATAAATAACTAGAACTTTCATCACTTTTTAATGATAATCATGTGAAATAATGTTACTACTTACAAACATTCTTCTTTGCATTCTTCTTCACATAATTCAGGCTTCCGCTTATTACATTCGTCAGTCAAATAGTCCTTTTTTATTCTAATTTCTAGTAGAATGAAAGATAATTTCTAATGCTCTTTACATCTCATCAAAATGATACTTCCAAAAATATATATGCACTTATATTACAAATTATACATGACGTTATGTTACAATATTATAAATATAATATATATATATATATATATATATAAACATAATAAAGACAGATTAACAAAGAAAATTTTAATATAATTAAAAGCTATAAATATAATAAAACTCTTAGTAGAACTATCTTTAATTATAATGATATCAGCAAAAAATTAGAGAAAATTAATATATCCGATTATGAATATCACTGTGAAGAGAAGAAATGTTTTGAATTTGTTGATAAATATCATAAGCATATTATTACTGGTAATTTAAATATAATAGAAAATTTAGAACTGAGAAATTTAATGTTAAAAGGCACAAAATTCTGACCCATTTACCATACATCAATTAATAAAATTCTAAAATACTTTCTTATGTTCTCAATAATTTTTTTTTTAAGACATCAAATAGATTCACCTAGGCATGGAAAAAAGAATGGAAAATGGGCTCTTTATTATTACTTTAAAAACTTTATTTTTAATAATAAGGAAAATTTAAATAACGGTAACAATTTCACAAATTTTGTCAAAAGTGATCAATCAATTAAGCAACTGCAAAAAATATTCTGTAATTATCCCTATCGACAAAGCTAACAATAACTATGCAACCTTCTGTAAAAAATTCTATGTTGAACTTTTAAATAAGGAGTTAAATAATAGTAACAATTTTAAGTTTTGTAATTTAAATAATAATATAAACATTAAAATTTTTTTTAGCTTTATATAAGAGATTAAAAATTAAAATTAATAATATACAAATTCCATACCTAGTAATCAGGATAAAATTTCATAAAATTCCTATTAAATTTAGAACAATCACTTTTGGGTCTAATTCTTACATAACTGAACCTGGCACCATTTTCTCTAACTACTCAGATAAAATTCTTAACAATTTTATTAAATAAGGTTTTTCTTGGATTATCACTAATAAACAAACTATTTTAGAGTTTATTAAACAAAATAAAATTAGTTCCAATTCGACTTTTGATTTCCAAGATATCTTTAATAGCATTCCCCTTTCTAAACTAAAAGATGTTCTTTTGAGTTATTACTGTGATTATAAAAAATATCCTTTATTGCGATTTTGATTATTGGAAAATACTAATTAATTTAGGTCTTTTTAATAATTATCTTTACAATGGAGAACATATTTTTGTTCAAATTGATGGAATACCACTAGGATCTAGTTATTCATCTCTTTTAGCAACTTATTTTTACACTAGTATGAAAAAAAATTATACTCTTAATTTTTAATTTTAATTAATAATGATTTAATTATCTTTAATTTTCAAAATTATGCAGTTTTGCTAAATAATATTTACTACGAGGATGAAATATAGTTTCAAAATCATCACAATAATATTAATTTTAATTTTTTGGATTTAAGCTTTATAAAAAATAAAATATCTGCATTGCTGGTTTATATGATAAAATAAATGATTTTAAATTTAATATAGATAAACTAATTCAAACGTTTCAAAAAATATTTATTTAAATACCATTTTTAATGAAACAAATAAAATTAAAAGAATTTGTAATAATGCTTATTTATCGAAAAAACAAATAGACGAACTGTTCCAAAATTTAATAAAAAACAATGGATATCCCACTAACGTAATTAAATTCTATATAAAATCGTTGAGTTAATTGTATGTTATAATTAAAAATTTCTTTGTTTACTAAATTTATATATTTACCATGTGCAAATCTGATTTCAGGCAAATCCATAACCAGGAATCTTCTAATATTTAATAAAGATTTTTTTTAAAATAAAATTCTTTTTCATTAAATGTTAATAATTTCTTAAAATTCAATCTTATTAGTATTAAAATTTTTAAATTGAAATTCAATACTTATTATTTTTCAATTAAAATTAAATACTTACTAATTATAAACTTTGAATAATACAAAATAAGAGAAGAATTTAAAATAATTAAAGCAATTAAAAACTATACTTCCAGTGGAAAAACACGACATGCAGCTGAAATTCCAAATGGAATTGAAACAAAAAAACAATGAAAAAATACGACAATCGAAGCTGACGTCTTCAGGGGGTACTAGCTCCGGAGGCCGTAAATGCAAAATTTTTTCTTTCGAGAGAACACGATAAATGTTTAAATTGCTCTCTCTGTACCCCAAAGGTTTTGCCAAAGTCCAGGAAGAAAAAATACAATACAAAATACATTAAGCAAATACAAAAGTATAAAATCAAGACTAATACATAAGAATAAAAAGCTCAAAAACTTACTTGAAAACAAATCCAATAACCAAATTACACAACTGACTATCAAACAACAACTAAATTGAAATAAACAAATATCGTTTATTTCAATAAAAAACTAAAAATTCACACTACTTCAATATAAAACTACAAATTATTTTGGATTTCGTTCTTGAGTGTACTTTGGCTCAAAATATATCTTATTAAAATTATAATTAGGAGAAATATGATAATTTTTAAAAGTTACGTAGAAAATTGTACATAAATGTATTTTTTTCTGCAATTTTAGACTAATTGCGAAGATAATATTGTTTAAACATTGGTTGAATAATTCTCTAGAAGTATTTCAATTAGTTAAATTTTACAGACACAGCAATGGATAGTAATCTGAGGTAAATAAAAAACAAAATGTTTTCCAACTATTTTCACAACCTACAACCTTTATTTAAGTATAAAAAGTATTTTTCAAATGTTAATAAGTATTTTTTTCTTTTTAATAAAATGAATTCCTACAAATTTGATGATGTAAGAAAGACTTAAACTTGATAATAAAATGATAAGAACTATAAAAATTTTTAAAACTAAAAATAATTATGAAATTTACGATTTTTAAGGTAATCAAAAAGTAGCCGATAAGTCTTGTGCATGGAGTACACATAAAATTTCAAACTACAAACTTCAATAAGCCATAATAATTCTTTAAGATTTTGCTTTACATTTGTACAAAGTAAAAAAGGGTAAAAATAACATTCTTAAAAATTCTTAACAACATAAAATCAAATTCGTGAAAATGATTTATATATTAACACTTGTTTTAGTTAGATTATTAAAACAACTTACTATATAAAATGGAAAGAATAATATGGAGGACATTTTATTATTTTTTTGCTGTTAACCTATCTTGGATATTTTTACATTGCTAATTTCAAATCAGCAATCAGTTCTTCTCACTAAGCTAGTTTTTTTAAATGACATTCTTAGTCTATTTTTTGTCGAAATGTAGAAATTTGAAAACATTACGTGCAACAGAGGTTCACGTAATTGTTGCTGAGGGAGTTAGAGCACATCATCAGGATTAAAATGACATAGAAACCAATGTAAAGAAACCTCGTCACACACCATTATAGGCGTTTCCCTACTATGAACTGTTATTTGGGTGCTTGTGATCAGGGTTCCAAAGCAATTTTAATCCTGATGATGTGCCTTAACTTCTCTAGAAGTTTGTTGCACATTTACTCAACCCACTGTTATACATAGAGTAGTTCACTCTGACAAAAACAGACTAAAAATGTCATTGAAAAATAAAAAAAAACATGTTGCTTTATGAGGAAAACTGATAAGAAATTTGATATTTGCTTAAAGGAAAAAAAAATTTTTCTCCCGGTATTTTTTGTTGAATTGATTAAAATAATTAAAAAAATCTTTAAAGTAGTAATTTTAATAGTAAAAAATAAAACTTTTATTAGTAAAAGAAAAAGTTATCGTAGTAATAAAAAGTGACCTTAATAATAGTAATCTTAAATGGGTAATAAAATTTTTTTCCATGGAAATTATTAACAAAACTCATTTATCTTCAATTTTTTATTTATATTGTCAGTTTTTAATTATGATGCAGGTAGAAATATTAATAACATGAATAAAATGTTTACAAAATTAAATAACAAATTTCCTTACAAATAAAAAAAAATCATTTTATGCTTCTCATAATGCGCCGTGAATGATGCGACTTCACCTCTTGGAGAGCTTTATCAAGTTCTTCAGTCAAATGAATTATGTTAGATGAATCAGATTCTAAGACGGTGTTCGTAATTTTACCATCTTTCTTAAGCTGCAACCCTAACAGCAATGTAGGTTCGACAGGTCGCCTTAAACTCCTACTTGCAATCTGTAAATCAGATATGTATATAAGAATGAATGTAAGGTGTAATAAGTTGAAAATAATATAAATTTAAAAATACTTTTTTGGTTAAAAACATTAAAATTTAGTTGAGTATACCTCCAAAGGGTTAATGAAAGTAAAAAAAAAAAAGAGTTAAAATAATTATAAAATTTTTTTAAAAAATTAATATAATTTCTTAAGAAAAAAAAACTTAAGAGGTGCAGATTTGTTTTAATGAAACAAAAAGCAGAACATTTTCAATAGCAAAAAATCTTTTTTTTTTATTCGCCAGAAATTTTTTTTTTCCATATATTTTTTAATACTAATATCATATTTTTAGTGAATAAGGTAACTTTCTGAGCCCCTAAATGGCAATAAAATTGGGGGAAGGGGTTAATTATAAACTGAAAATACATTTAGCACAAAGATTTTTTTCTCAAAACAGACTCTCAACTGAAAAAAAAAAGTCTTATATATAAGAAAAATGCCAGCATAATAAAAGAAAACTATTCTGACATAATCAAAAGCCTTTAAAATGTAGTTTTTACATATAACTTAAAAAAGTATGTTGTAAAAAGTTTTCATTAAGTAACAATAGCTTTTCTTTATAATGTTTATATTTAACTTATAGATAACAATGGATTCAATTTTATCTCCCATTTTTGAATCAGACAAAATAAAATTTTTTGTTCAATCCAACTAATTAGAAATGCCATATTTTTTAAAAGATGATCTGCACATTGTTTGCTGCAAAGTGTTACAAATTTAAAAACCAAGTAAAATTTTCTATCCATTCAAAATGATTTGGTATTCTTCTTCAATCTTTTGAAAATTGAGTTAAATTCTTTAAACTGGCCAAATATTCAACCAGAATTAGAATATCAGACGACCCAAACCATTATTTGAGAAAGAATGAGCAAAAATTTATACACACACTAAATAGTATATTTTATTTTACGTTAAAATTAGAAGAAAATATGTTTATTATTTTTTAAAGTTATTAATAGCTATTCTCCGCTTATCTTAGAATAACCAAAACCATTATTTGAGAAAGAATGAGCAAAAATTTATACACACTCTAAATAGTATATTTTATTTCACGTTAAAATTAGAAGAAAATATTTTTATTATTTTTTAAAGTTATTAATAGCTATTCTCCACTTATCTTAGAATAACCAAGGTTTTTAGGTAATTAGAAACTTGATTTTTTAACAAATCTATATTTAGGGGTAGGCTCACATATCAAATGCACACAAAATTCACCATTTAAAGTTAAAAATAAAAGATTAACTTGTAAAGGGAAAATTTAAACAGAAATAAAATAAACTGCTAAATATGCTTACCTGTATGTCTAGTCGCCATTCTAGGTCATGATATTGGGGGATCCCAAAGTCCAAACCATAAAGATGTGACCGTATACTTTCATTGTTCTCCAGGTAACATTTAGTGAGTTCTTCTTGGATTTCAGAGCTAAAACCTAACACTAATATAGAATCTCTAAACTCAATTTCATCCACCTATAAAATAACAAAATTAAAATAAGTATCGCAAATAAATCACATAGAAAATTGAAATATGTATAAATTGTCTAGATGATTGTACAGTAAATATAATAGAGTATGAAGTTTATTAAATTATTAACAATCAAAACTTTGATAAACCTTTTTGACTTTGATAATCCCCTGTCTTTGCTAAACAATTTGGTTAAAACGGTCAAATTTAAGAATATGTACTCAAAGTAATATGTACTTTAAAAATATGTATAAAAGAAAATTCATTATTCTCTCTGATAGTAGAAAAAAAAACTAAGAAGAATACCACAAAAACGATTCTTGGAGTAGTTATAGTATTTTATTTACATGGCACTACAACTGCACAGTGGGTTATTGGTGGCGATCTGATAAAAATCAATGAGGATGATCTAAAGACATGCCTCCACAATTTTTATCCTTTGGAGAGGAAATAGCTTGACCACTTAGGTATCCCAACAACCTGTATATGAAGTTTAGCACTAACGCAGAACAGTTTAATGAGGACCGATACCATGCACCCTCTGTTCTATTGCAGGCTGATCAAAGCAGTCACCCACCTACTCACTGAAAGAGATGCTTGATTTCAGTTATCTACTGGAGCCATGTCTCTGTGGCCACTGGAAGCCTTGGACAATCCTTGCACTACAGAACAATACAAGATTCAGAAACAATAAGATTTGATAACAATGGTTGGCAGTAGGTGGCAGCACAAATCTAGCTGAACGCAGTAAGGTAATCAAAATGGTGTTCAAGAGCAACCGAAAAGCTTTTATATGTTAGAATTTGCTAAATCAGAATGAGTGGTCTTCGAGCAGAAGACACAAAGGACAAGACACACAATTAGTTGGGTGACCTAAATGTTTGATAAGGCAAGCATTTGAATATGACAAACCTTTTCTGCCATGCTCACCAGATTTATTACAATGTGACTTTTTCTTGTAGGTCTTGTAGTCTACTCATCTGCTCTGCCATATAGATAGACTATGTCTACAAGAGGATATTGATACAATACCTACAAGAATATTGATCGTAGAACTGCATGAAATGTACTGTTACTTCAATATGTTCAAATATGGTACATATTTTTTTCCTTTTTTAAAAAAATGACTAGATTTCTGAAAATAATAATGTAATTTGAAAGTTAGTAAGAATGGAATTTTATAATATTCCATACATAAGAAATGCCAGAGAATTTGTTCTCATATAAAATCAATAAATTATGAGAAAATAGATTGATCATGACAATGCAAACATTATTCACATGGAGTTGCACACCTTAATTCTTAAATACTACATTAAAGAAAGCAATTCAAAAAAGATCAAAATTGTAATAACTATATAACCTAGTTACCATATTTTTTGAAGCTTCAATAAGTAGCTGAACAACTCCAATTATAGCATTTTGGACAAGATCGACATCAATGTTAAGCCGCTCTTCAATGAATATTGGAAAATGAAAAACAATTTAATTAGAATAAAATGCAAAATTGAAAATAATAACAAAAAATTCATACATATGTTATTAAAAATAATAGAATAGAAAAATAGGAAGGATAAATATATCTTATTAAAAATAAAACTAGACTGTTAAAGAGTTCAATGCAGGAGTGTTTGAATACCTTGATACTTGCTAGTCTTCAATAAGGATTGCAAAAAATATAAATTTAAGAAACTGTGAATATATTCTGCAAGAATTCATATATTTTATAAAAAACTATAAAAAAAACTAATTAAGTCCTTTTTATTAACACTTTAATAAATCTGTACAACATTTATACATTATACACTTATATAATTTCTAATACAAAAAAACAAACAAGCTTGGAAATGAAGTAGATATGTACTCAAGTATATTTAAAGCTTCTGCAAATTTTAGTAATAGCTAATGTTTAATTTATGCTCAATTATTTCACTTACTAAACGTTACCATTAGAATTTAGTTCATGTTTGATAAATTTGACCAGTTAAGGTAATTTTATCTTCAAACTGATGCAGAATTATATAAATTTTACCCAGATTAAATCCCTTCATTCTATTTTTTAAACATTGATTGATATATTTTAATAAGGGGAAAGAACACAGAAAATTTTTCAAAGAAATGAAAAAACTTTTTCGTTGCACTTTTTGATAATTAATACTTTACAATAATTATACCAAAGTATTTTTTTTTGTTCACAAAAGTGTAAAAAATACAACATAAAATGCCAAACGCTGCATATGAGCTTTTGTACTCAGCTCAGTTCAAGAAATTGAATTTTTAAGAAGTTGTACATTTAAAATTCGATTTCTCACCAATTGAAAATCAGTTTTGCTAAATTTTTCATTTTGCAATTGCAAAATTACATGCTTTAAAATGATTTAAAAAACTGCAAACCTTACAATTCGAAATTTTTTCATCTAATTATTAAATAATTAATAAGAAATGTATAATACTTACTAAAAAATATTTTTTGCATGGAATTATCTTTGGATAAATAAATTTTATGAATGTAAGCAAAATTTTTAAATTCTCTTAAAAAGTTTTTGAGACATACTGAAATAAGCAAAAAGTAACATTAACATTAATGGGTCAAAACTTTGGACGGCTCTCCTGACCAAACTATGGGGACCTCATATACTACCCTACCCCATATATTTTGGAAGTCAGAAATCTGAATCCATCAGGAAAGAAGGTATGTTTATTCAGAGAAAATGCGTTCATAAGTATGATTTCTCAACTTAAAATATCGTCTTCACTAATTAATAAGCACATTTTAGATCACCCCCTCGAACCAATAAGATTGTCTTAGATTGTGAAGATCTGATCATTAGATCAAAAGTTATTCAAGGTAGTCTGTTTTTTATTTTGTGTACTGTACAGTAAGATAAAAAAGGTAGTTATCTAAATTAATCCCAATCATTAAAAAAACAACATATTTTTACAGGTTTTTACTGTGTTGTTCCCGCTTTATAAGAACAAAGCATTAAAAATTGCAACAAAATGCAAGTTCTTGCAACAAAGGCAAGTACATATAAATGTAGAGAAAGAAAAAATAGTTATTTATACTTACGGGCAGCACTTTGATAAATTTTTGGGTTGATGTTATTTCGTAGATGCTCCACTGATATACGACAAAATTCTCGAACAACTAGAAAAAAGTCTCACAATTATAACAAATAATAATAATATGTAGTAATATTACAATTACAACAAAAATAATACAATGTAGGCTGTATTAGTAAATTTTGTAATATTAGCATTCTATAAAATAAAATAAGAAAAAAAAAATATTCCTACATTACCTGTCAAGATTGATTTCAATCACACAATGAACATTTATTTATTAAAGTTACATTACATTGCTAACAATCAGCTTAATATTACTCAAAAGAATTATTGAACTCTTTTTTTTAGAAAAAAAAGCTCAGTTATTAAATTGCAAATGTTTTTAAAACTTTTGAATCTTATAGATGAGGTAGCTTTTAATTCATTAAATAGGTCATATATATTTATAGGAAATATTTGCATATTTAGTCATATGTTGTTCTTATAGATTGTGCTTTTTTTTCCTTTTCAATATTCTTTCAAACTTTTTTAAAACAATTTCAATAATTTATTTAGAGTTGCTAAACCAGTAAAAATTATTTATGCATTTTTTGCAAGAAACATGTCTGAAATTGTAATAAAAACTCACCATTTATGGTAATTTTAAGAAGAAATTAGAAACAGTTTTATATATTCAAGTATGTATTAGTAACTAAGTCTCATGTCACTGATAGCAGAAATACTCCAGCATACCACCAAGAGTTGCAGATTATTAGAGCATTTGCAGATTATTTTTCATCTCAATTTTTTAATATGAGCTTAAATTAATGCAGAGAGGGGAAAAAAATCATTCGCTGCCGTTGCTGTACTAACTCCATTGATACCATTGCTATACTAATTCCTAATTCTTGGGCAACTTCTTCTCAATGGAATGTCACCAAGCTTAGACTCTAGTCTTCCATGTGGTTCATTTTCAAGATTTTCATCCCCACCTTCAAATTTTTTTTACCAACGTTTAATTGTCCATTCATTAACAGAGGCTTCACCAAATGCAGCACTAATGCTTGGAGCAGCTATGATTATTTTAGAATTCATAAAAAAACTAACATGTAAATCTCAAGAATCCAATTTAGAAATCAACGTCTAAAGCAATACAAAAAAAAAAAAAAAAAAAAAAAAAAAAAAAANAAAAAAAAAAATCAAAAAAAAAAAAAAAAAAAAAAAAAAAATAATAATAATGCATTAAAATTTTAGTATAAGTTAAAGCACATAATAATCGTTAGATTAATATATATATTTTTTATAAAATTCCTAAACATTTATTAAGAAAAAGATTCTTCTTCTTCTTCTCATTGGCACGACAACCCAGGATGGGCCTTGGCCTTCTCAACAAGCCTATGCCAAGACATTCTTCCCTTAACCAAGGTTCTCCAGTTTATTATCCTTAAAACTTGTAGGTCCTTTTCAAGGCACTCTAAAAATCTTAGGTTTGGTCGTCCTCTTTTTCTCGTACCTGTTGGCCTGACACTCAAAACTTTTTTGGTTGTCCTGCTATCCTCCATTCTTATAATGAAGGATAGCAGGACAGATTAACAAAGTTATTTAAAAAAAAAAAAATCAGACAATTCATAACAACCTGATTATATTTAATAGAGAAAGAACATAAAAAAAGCATTTGTAAAAAGTAATATTAATCACAGATACTGTGTCTAGGGCTAACTTTTCTACATCAGACATCTTTCAGTGTTTTCAACAGCAGTTAAATAAAGCCAATAAACAATCCTATCGCTCAATCCTTCTCCGCAACCTCATTTCCGCTCATTCTTTCACTTAACCATGATCGTTTTCTTAAATTTCGATTTAAATATATTCTACTATAATTAATCTACTAATGCGTTACAAAAATTGATGAAGAACATTAGAATGAACAAATAAAAAATGAAGTGGTTGAAAAAAGATGAATGTGATATTCCAAATAAACATTCTCATACATGATGGAATTTCTTGAAAAAATAAGGTGATTATTTCATACACATAAATAAGAGAGTAGGTAAGTATGAAAGGGTAGAACAATAAGTGTATATACTTTTTTCATCTATATTTTTTAAAAGCTCCAAGTGCTTTTTATGAATATCATCTAGAAGTAAAAGCATGATTTATGACGTTTGATTATTATAAATAAATATTATTCAAAAAAAGGTTTAATAGAGGAATAACACAAGTTCTCAGCTGTCAAAGTTACCGAAAAATTAACTTGTTTACAAACAAATATTTTTCAGTTGGGGGCGTGATCGTATATTGCGAATAGCATTGTGAAATTAGCTTTTAGCTTTCTAACGAAAATTTTTAAAAAAGGTTAAAGCGTAAAAAAGTGTCTTCGTCCATTAGGAGCTAAGAAAATTGAAGTGAAGTAACAAAACAAAAGCAGCGAGTAGGAAAAATTTTGTAAACAAGCTTGATTTATTTTCAGTTTGGGCTTTGCTATTTTCCAAATATTAAATATGGAAGACGGCTCTGATTCAGAATATGAAGTAGAGGTAAAAATTATAATATTTTTTTTGTCCTATTTCTCTTATTGGATATATGGCAATTATTGAATTGCTGCTTTGATTAAATACCTAATTTTCTCCCTGATATATTTGTATTTGGTAGGTCTATAATAATCATTTTACTTATTTCTTTAACTATGAAGACAACCTGACAACGGCTCTACCATCAAAAATGCTAGTTTCTGTGGAGGCAAACTTTAACTAAATGTTTGAAGCTACTCAATTCTTTTTACTCCCTCGAAGCTATTTTGATTTTATAAATAGTAATAGACAAAAATATAAACAACCATAACTCAGAATTAATAACCTACTAGTACAAATATTTAATCTGTAAGCTTTGGATATTTTATCTAATATATTTGAAGCGTAATGAATGGTTTGAAGAATAAACACATTAAATAATTATTATTTACATTTATTTACAATTTATACCTGACTAGTTTGGGTTAATGCAGCATCAAATATTTAAGATGCAAATACCCAAAGATAAAATAATAGAACACTATTAAAATGTAATTCTAAAATGTATGGATTAAAGTTGAAGTAAAAATAAACTTAGAGTTAATAAATAATAATAAAAACATATTTTCACTTCATGCATATTTAAAAATTTGACTAAATAGTCTGCTCTATTTAATGCTTTTACATTTTTTCTTATTAATGATATAAGAATATTTTTCTTTCAGGAAGCTGTAGTTCTAGTTGAATTAAATGGAATTATTGATTCTAATTTTTTATTCCAAGAAGACATTCCATGTAAAATTTTGGTATGTATATAAGTAGTGTTTGCTGAATTAGCAGGGGTCTGTTTAGAAGAAATTTGGGTCCGTTAACGGACCCTTCACAAAATATCTTTTCATGAAAACGGACCCATCACAAAATATTTTAGCTTAAAAACGGACCCTTCACAAAATATTTTAACTTAAAAACGAACCCTTCACAAAATGATTTTTCTTTTAATCGAACCTTTTACAAATTTGTTTATCTTCATTATTATTTTGTTAATCGAATAAACCCTTTCCAGGGCAGAAAACAAGAAAGATGGATGTAAACGAATTAAGTTTTGTCTTCGGCAGACGATTCTTCCATTATTCGTCCGAAATTAATATTCTGCGTTCAGCAGTATAGGCTAAATACCAAATATTTGTATGTTGCATCTCTAATTTAGAAGCAGCAATTGTTGTTTATTTTTTAAAATTTAATTTTTTTAATTATAATTTTACAGTGTTGAGCATAATCTTGTATGTCTTTACAATTTAAAAACTCCTTGAAAAAGTTTTTTTTTTTGCAATAACGGACCCTATTTGCACAAATTCATAAAAGCGGACCCTGGTTGAAGGAATGTGAGTAATTTTTTCACAAATTTCACGAAAAACGGACCTTTCACAAAATGTCTGGACAGACCCCTGATTAGTATTTCAAGTTCTTTAAAAATTGTTAATACTTATCAATGTAAAATAGTCTTGGGGATATCTTTCAATAATTTTAAATATATTTAAATTAACTTTAATATTCCTCCAATACTGTTATGTAGGTTATAAGGCTCAAGTTCATGTTTCTAATATTTATAGCACATTTAAATTATGGTCTCTTTTTTTCCTCTAAAGTTAAAGAATGTATTATTATTATGTAATTACTTATATTCGGAGAAGAAGTGCACCTGGCTATTCTATTATGAGATCTTAACCATCAAGCCTTAGTCTGTTGTTGGTCTGCTGATTAATATTTGTATCGAAAGTAATGTAAATTTTTATTAGTGTATATCATCCTAGTTTATATGTCAACTTTTCAAGCCTCTCAAAATCTTACAAAAAACGCAGGATCAACCTTATACCGGCAATAAAGTGTGGCATCTGTTGATCATGAAATATAAATGTGATATAAACAATGAGATAGATAAGAATAACTCTGCATCAATTTATTGCTTCAAAAAACTATTTTTAATGTATTATATAAAATTAATTTTGTATTTTCTCTCATATTTTCTTAACATAAAAGTCTTTTTTAGAAAGAAAAACTTTAAATTACATTCAGAAAAAAAATTACGAATAAGCAAAGTTAAGATAATTTATTCAAGAGTAGTTTAAGAAATATAATGCAATGAAAACTTAAAAAACATGCCATAAAACTACAATTTTAAAAATTCCAAAATATTTGGGTTGGTTTCAATTTTAGCAAGCAGTGTAGTCATACAGATTCCGTTTTGTTATGGATTTTACTTCATCCTCATTTGCTATATCCCACGAAAATTCATCTTCACCCCGATACAAAGAATTCAAAGTTCCACAATTTTTAAGAGATTACAATTTACATACTTGACGTAACAGAAATTTTCTATCTTGTAATCAAAAATAGGGGGTCAGCTTATACACCAAGATATATGGCATATTTAAATTGGTTTAGTCTCAAAATATTTTCTCATTGTTGAGAGCATTATATGAATAATCAGAAACACATTTGTCAAAACATTGTTTCAGTGACAGAATTTTGTATTAAAATATTCCGCTGGTCCAAATAACTCACCTTATTAGTCCATGATTAAACTTGAAAATATTTTATTAGTTTTTTTTTTATTTTTTTTACTAAACCAGGCTGAGAAATACTGGTATAGATCATACTATCATAATTTGTTTGTGTGAAGATTGTAAGATTTCTGTCTTTCTATCTCTTGTTTTTAAATCAATAATACTTTATTTTATTCACATTATATATCTTTCAATTGAGCTGTGGAGATTTTGAGAAGTGTTATTAACAGAGACAGATTTTTGATTATTATTATAAACTTATTCTCTTTTCTTCCTTAATAAGGAGTTTCATGTCACTGTATCACTCATCTTCAAAATTGAAAAGAAAAAACCTGCCTTTTGAATTTAATGCACTAAAACAGAAAACATATTTTTAATTCCAGAAAAAAAAATTTACCACCTATTTTGAACTAAAACTTAAAAAAAAAAAAAAACTGGTCTAAATTTTAACTCAATTTAACAAAGGGAGAAAAAAAATGCTTTAATGAAATTGAAATTTCTTGTTTAAAATCCTATTTTCTATTTCAATATTTGATAAATAAAGTAATAAAAAATAGTTAATCAACTTGGAAATGTATGAATTGTATTAATTCTCTAGTGAATAAATTTTAATAATAAAATTTAATCCTTGCATTTTAGAATACAGCAATAGAATAGAATTCATAATATCTCGAATACAGAACACATAGTTAAAGATTCATTTTTTTTACATAAGGTTTACATAAGAATTTCAGTATTTTTAAACATTTTTCTTGGAAACATATCTCTAAAAGAAAAAAAAAAGTTTTTTTTCCAGATATTGTGGAATTTTTAAAATTGCTCAATGTGTTAGATTAGTATAACTCAGAAGTTGTAAAATTAAATTAAAAAAGTTAAAGATGAATTTATGAAAAAACTGTTTAAATAATTATATTTTCATGAGAGCTTAAGGTTTCAAACTATCTAATTCCACCAATAAATCCTGTTATTTGATTGAATATTATGTCAGTTTAATTTTATTTTCATGTTCTCTTTTCAGGGTATTGACAGTGAAAATCCTATTCTTCAATTGGGACAGTATACGTTTGCTGGAGAATATGAAGACACATTGGGTACTGTAGTTGCTTATGAGCCCGATGAATCTCAAAATGGTAATTAGTCTTTATTGTTTGTAAACAATAGAAAAATGTTCATGTGTTTATCAAGCAATTATTTATCTTATGGTTTTCTTTTAATATTTTTGAGTATTGTATTTCAATTATTGATTATAGGAGAAATTTGTAGTTGTATTATGGCGTAAATTTCAGAACAAGTTTGTATTGGGTAAAAAACAATCTTGTGATGTTTAGTTAAATTGATGTGTTAAGTTATGCGCAGTGCATGATACAAAATATATTTTCCATCAAAACTTTTCCAATTGTTTTATCGGGCTGTGGTAGCAAAGTGGTTAGAGAATGGGACCATAGCCAGAGTAGCTGGGGTTTCATCTTTGACTCCACCAAGTGCATACATGCTCATAACATCTGTGGAACCAAAAGTCCTGTCTGTCGCTAAGCAGTAAAGAAATCTGGAGAAAATTTCATTCCCCTCCAGAACTGTGTCTAAATCGAGGAAGTGGCCTAGCAAAATTATGATGGCATGTCTTCGGGATGTTTCCCAGGCTGTCTCAAATAGCCCATTGTGCAGCTAGTGTGAAAATTAAAGGTTAATGTCTGAAAAATGGTTAATAACTGCTGATTAAACAATCAATGTTAATATACAATGGAATTTCCGTAGATTAAGCATAAATAATTGGAAAACTCCAACTCGAAATTCGTGTATCATAATAACATTGTATTAAAAATACTTGAATTACAAAATCTATGTAGCCAAAAAAGAAAATGTAATTGTGGAAAAAATCATTGCAAAACTGTGTGGCTTTATAGGGAGTTTTGTTCTTATTTAGGCCATTGTAATGTATTGGAATATGTAATCATGATCAAAAGGCATTTTGAGCGGAAATATTTCAAGAAAAATTGAACACTAATTTTGTTAGTGTTTTAAAAGCTTTGTTGTAATGAATAACATGCAGTGGTTAGGAAAATAACTTTTAAATGAATAACATACAGTGGTTAGGAAAATAACTTTTAAATCAATAACAATAAGTGGTTAGGAAAAAAATTTTAAATCAATAACATGCAGTGGTTATGAAAATAACTTTTAAATCAATAACATGCAGTGGTTAGGAAAATAACTTCAAATCAAATTACCACTAGAATGAACCATTACCCCTAGAAGAAATTTTCCCTAAAAGAAATTTGGCAGCCCTGTTTTAGGGGTGGCAAATAAAGTTTCATTTAAAGTTGGAATTTTATTTAGCTTTTTTTTCAAGTATTATTGTCTTATTTCTTTTATCTAATTATTAAGAATACATTTTTATCTAAAAATATTTTTTTGGGAGGGAATCTTTTTTTTTAAGAAATCCTCAAAGTAAAATTTTCCTTTTATATTGTTTGTTTAATGAATTCTTTGTTGTGTCTCTAATACATTTTTCTTATTTAGTGATTGATTTTTGTTCAAGCTCTTTAAATGTAAATTTATATACTCATAAATGTAGTTTTACAAGCATTATGCTGCACCGAGTATGAAAATAATTTGCTCTTATCTGTAACAAAAACCAAATTTACTTCCTCTAATGATATTTTTTTCTGTTTCAAAGTGGTTATGCTACTGCTCCACAAAGTGTTAAATCGATAGTCTTTATTTTTGGCAATTTGAAAAAGAACAGTTCTGCTTATGATCCAAATTGAACTTAATACTTGTACTAGTTTAAAAAAATGAATGATCAAAATAATAAATAAATAATTGAATGAGCAATAAAAAAAAAAAAGTTTAAATAGTAATGTATTTTGTAAAATTTTATCAGTGAAATTTATCATTCATTATTTGTATCAATTTAAGTTATGACTACCATTAAAACTAATACCATTCTTCAATTAAATTTTTTACTGAAAAAACATTTTATTTATGTATTGAATATTCTTAAAGTTATAATAAAAACTCCAAATTATTTATATTGCTAATTTATAAAAGTGATAATGCATAAAATTGGATTTAAATTATTCATTTGTTTTAATTAATTTAATTGAGCATTTATAATTTGTCGACATTCCTAGTTTTTTCAATTAACTCTTAAGAAAAATATCAAGACATATGTTTAAAATCATAAGGACTTTTTTTGTTAATGGTTTTTAAAAAAGAAAAACTTACCCTTGAAAATTTCGAATCATGCTGCCCATGCTGATTGAAAGTGTTGTTACTTTTTTCTCAGTAGGGAATGAAATTTATTTATTTTACTCATGAAAAGTTTCTTAAATTGGTGCTATTGACATTCATGTAACTAAAATGTACTAACTATTTAGTGCACAATTGTTGTAGGGATCCAAAAAAAATTTTCATCATTCAAATTGTTGGTTGGAAAGGTCTTATTTCATTTCATGAAATGTATAATTTATTAGAAATTACCTTAATATTGGATTCTCATTTGAAATTACTAAAATAAGCTGTAACATAAATTTATAGACTATTTGAATATTTTATTTATTCTACTTAATCCTTAAAATTCTGAATTTAAGAATAGTATTCTGGTGTAGGAGGTGTATGTAACCCGCAAATTTAGATTGCATATTGGTTAATTATAATATTTCAAATCTCAATATTCACTTTGACAGTTACCTAACGTTGAAGAGAAAAAATTATATCATTATCTTGTTATTATAATGTAATTGCAATAAAATTAGATTTTGTGGTTAATAAAGTGATATTTTTATAGTGATTTTATTTTTGTAATAAATGTTTTAGTCTTATAAGAAAGAATATGATAGGAACTTTGAACAGTGATATCCTGAATGATTTATTTAACACTAGCTTAGTACCCATTCTCCATATGGGGTGAAAAATTGAGCCTCAATAAATCAGGACTGCACAACACAACGAAATTTTGCACAAAATGATATGGCAATAGCAATAATAAAGCTAAAATAATTGTAATATATTTTGTTTTCTTTTTTGTTAGCTTTTCGTTATTAGATTAAGCAAAACAGTAGTTCATACTCTCAAAATTAAGATCAACTGTATTCATTAATGCTGTTGCTCAAATCAGCTTTAAGATTAACCTCAATCAAGCTACTTTCTCCTGTACAGATATCTTCAAAAGGGCCGTAAAAAAATCTAACATAAAAATGTAAATCTCCAAATTTGCTCATAAAATATTTCGTATCTATATAAGAGTATATTTTGTACCTATGTAAGAGTATATTGGGTACCTATTAAAACTGCATCAATTACCACGATGCCAGTATCGTCTATTATCAAAATGAAGCATCATTGTCGTTGATAATAGTAAGGTGACTTTTTACACTCTCTCAGGCAACTTAGTACTCTCCATTAATTTTGCTTTTTAGTGTGCATCTCGCAATAAGCTTTTTTTATTAGAGCTATAAGCCACCAAACATTATTGATGTTATCTTTAAAATGTTTGACAAAACTGAATCATTTTTAGTTACGTCAAAAAATTTAAAGATAACATCAATAATGTTTGGAATAACAACTGAATCATTTTTAGTTAACTTTAAAACAATGGCATTTAACTTTAAAACAATGGCATCTGCTATGCCAATGAAAAAATTCCATTTTTTAAATGCCCTCGAATAAAAAATGTAGTTAAAAAAATTGAAAATTGGGCTTCATCACTTGTTTACAATCGTACTAAATTAGCATCATGTTGAATGTTGCATTTTTAGGGCTTGGAGTTCACCTGCAATCCAGTATATAGACATATACACAAATTCTTTATTTTATTATACATATAGATATACTATTCATTAAAGTTTTTTAAAAAATATTTTTCTTCATCTCTGAAATGGTTTTCATAATTGAGGTAATAGAATATGTCTAAAAGAATGTGCATTTATTATATGAATGTAATTTGCATGCAGTTTGTAGAAGGAGGCAGTTATGCTTTCTTCTATCAAAAGTTTTGTTTAATACTATATGCAGTTATATTTAGTTTCCAAAATTTATTTTATTAATATGTTTTAGAGGAGGAAAAAAAGTACAAGTTTACTGCAAAAACAGATAAAAAGCTTGTAATGAAAAGAGTATTTGTTCAAGAGAAAATAGAGGTATGGTGAAATATGCTTTAGTGTTTCCAGGGGTCTGTCTAGGTTTTTCTGTGAGGTACCTATTTTGTGAAAATTTAGACTTAATTTGTGAAAATTAGAAATTATATTAAAAAATCAATACAAAAATGTGGATTTATCGTTTTTACGGGATACAAAAATAAAATTTTAGGAAAAAGTATTTTGTGAAACTACCGTTTTTCCTAAAGTTGAATTTGTGAAGATACCGTTAAACGATAATAAATTTGGCCTTGACAGACCACTGGTTTCAATTTTTAAATTGTTTTGTAAAATGTGTTTCTGTCAGATTTTTGTTTTATATCAAATTTAGATAACAACTACTATTTGTATATCATATTTAAAGTGTTGTTTTGCAAATATTTTTTATACATAGAGTATTTTTTCCTTTAAGAAATAATTCTAAATATTTTTTATGCTTCATGACTTTGTTGATTTTTAATAAAATTTTGTTCTTTTTTTATGCATAGAAACATTCAAAGAATAATTAGATTGCTAATAGGTACTAGATTGATTGCTATTGCATAGATTGATTGATTGTGCCCCCTTCGTTGCATGGAGAATGTCAAGTCAATTTCACGCCAGGTAGCGGCAAGCATGTCGGCATCCACAGAGGCTATTGCGGTTGTAATTCTGGCTTTTAGATCATCAATGTTCGACACAATCCTCCCGTAAACATTGTTCTTTATAAATCCCCAAATAAAAAAAGTCCAGCGGCGTTATATCAGGTGATCTGGGTGGCCAAGGAATTGGACCTCCTCTCCCAATCCATCTTCCTGAAAAATGGTCATTCAAAGAACTATGAACGATGATACCCCAATGAGGTGGTGCACCATCTTGTTGCAAAAAGACATGTGGCTGAAGCTCTTCCAGTTGTGAAAATACGAAGTTTTCCAACATGACTAAGTATACGACTGATGAGACCGTCTTTTCTGTAAAAAAGAAAGGCCCAATGACTCGGTCGTGCATTAGTCCACATCACACATTAACCTTTGGGGAATCCCTTTGTGTCTTACGGTATTCATGGGGGTTTTCAGATCCTCATATGCCCCAGGGTGTTTACAAATTCCCGGACCCATTTTGATGTGTGGTGTGGACTAATGCACCCAAATCCAAAGAATTGAAATTAATATTATCATCATTATTACGAAGCAAGATTAATTCCTTACCGTAAATATCATTTAATAAAATAGTATAATCTTGAAAATTAAAGATAATTAAGTCATCAATATATCTAAAAACAAATTTAATACTAAGAGTATAATTTTTTTAATAATAATGCAAAAATAAGTTAGCTAAGAGAGATGAATAATTAGATCCTTGTGGTATTCCATCAATTTGAAGAAAAATATCCTTTCCATTGTAAAGATAATTAGTAAAAAGACAAAAATTTATCAGAACTTCCCAATAATCAAAATCACAACAAAGGATATTTTTAAAATCATAGTAATAATTCAAAAGGACATCTTTAAGTTTAGAAAGGGGAATGCTATTGAAAAGATCCTGGAAATCAAAAGTCGCAATAGAATTAATTTTATTATGTTTAATGAAATCTAAAATCGGTTGATTATTAGTGA